AGGCACCGATCTGGGAGTCTGCTCTGTCCCCAGTCCCAGGCTCCACTCTGGGCAAGCCTATTATGCTTTGCTGGTGAGGGTAAGGTAGGGAAAGAGCTTACACTCTCATTTCCCTACACTGCTGTGTAGAGCCCCATAATAACCGAGCCCGTACAGAGCAAAGTCTGTTCCAACCTCTTGTTGGTTTTAAGTAAAAAACATGACAAACTTTTTTTCACAGCAAAGTCAGTTTTTCATAATTATCTTGCTCTACCCTGCTTATCAGTTATACCACCAATAATTTGGTCTCTAAATAGTCCAAATTTATATGAATTTGTTTTAAAAAAGGTTACTTCCAATTTTCCGTGATGTCACCCAGCAGCCTGTTCCTTGCAAAGAAAACTTGCAATCCTCAAGTGATATTCTTGTATGGACAAAAGCACATTACACTTCTAAGTTTTAAATGAGAATTTGCAGTCGCCTTTTGTTCCTGTGAGAATTCAATATAGGTCTCCAATGCTGCTGGATCTGCCCCTTGAAGCAGTGTGGAGGATTTCACCCTCTTCGGTTTCTCTGCAATGCCATTTGCTTCTAGGAAAATCTGTAAGCACTGCAACCTTTCCTTCCTTATATTCAGGAGGATTCATTTTCCACTCTTTTGCCAGAGATTTAGTTTACTCCTTATTCAATATAATAAAGATGTGAAACACAGAATTGCTAGTAAGAGACTGTTCTTTATTTCCTGGCTCCTGTCATATGACATAGGCCGGGGTTACAAAAGTTTAGACTCCTATCACATTCTCTGTTACACAAGTGATATCAAAACCACCACAAAAGAATGAAAGTGTTAATGCACTAATTTATTTTTACCACCATAACTTTCTTTAAAAAATTCTTTATTGCAAATAATTTTCCATGTTTATTCTAAGACCAAAAACGAATATTTCTGTGGAAAGTTACAAGAAAATTAGTTGCTCTGTTTTAGAGTATGATGTGAGTATTAAAAATGTTATGCATTCAGACATCAAACTTGCCATGGAATTAGTTCTCACTGAAGACAAGTGGCTTTTGTAATATTTAGCAATGTACTCAGTAGTCAGGTTGCCTGGTGTCACTTTGAGTGCAGGAAGTGGGGGCCCGCAAGGATTCTAAAAATTAATACTGGCCACTCTGGGCTTGTATTAAACTTCCAAGGTTCCAGCTTTACTCTGACCTTGGATGGGTAGATGCTGCCACCACCCAAGTGCAAAACCCCTTTGAGAACCCAGGAAGGTGCACTTGGGTATTCCTTCCTGTGGGATACCTTCAAGCCCTTTCACCCTCACCCCTCTGGGGAAGAGCTGAGAAAGAAAAACAAAGTAAATCAGCTGTTGCCACCAGCTAATTAAGCAACATGTGCACAAATCTCTTAGGACACAAAAATCCAATCCTGTTCTTAAAAAAAGGTAAATTTTATTAAAAGCAAAAAGAAAGAAAACATCTGGAAACTCAGGCTATTGCTAAATTAAAAAAAAACTTACAAGGATTAAGCATCAAGAATAAAGTTCTTGAGGTCCAGCTTAAAGGTTACAAGCAAAACAAAAGCATTGGTTCTGGTTTGAGCAGGGGGTTGGACTAGATGACCTCCTGAGGTCCCTTCCAACCCTGATATTCTATGATTCTATGATTTGGGGTTAGCACAGAGGAGTCCACAAGCCATAAAGAAATAAAAAGAGATAAACCTACTCGCATCTTCCTAGACATTTCCTAATCTACTTACATATCTGGGATTTTAAATGAGTAGTTTCTAGATATGATACTGATGATTTTTCATACCTGGCCCCAAGTTTCTTATAGCATAGTTGCTCTGTGTCTGCTTCTCCCTGAGAACAACAGACAGACAAAAGGGAAGTCTTGTTTCAATTTTAAAAAGTTCTAGCCTTCCCATTGGCTCTTTTGGCCAGGTGCCCACTCACTTCTTTTTACCTCTGCATCACAGTGAGACTTTTAACCCTTTACAGGTAAAGCAAGTAGAGAACAGCTATTAAAAGGAATTTTATAGCTAACTGGCTGGCTGGGTCCATAAAAGGGAGCTACTCCCCACCCCCTTCATTTACCACACCTGGAGAGAAGGCACAATATCTTTATGAATTGTACAAGCATTCAGCTCAGTCTTAATGTGTTCAGGCTTCTGAACACATATTTTGGAAGTGGATTAAGTGAATTCACTAAGGGTATGTCTACACTACGGAATAAGGTCGAATTTATAGAAGTCGGTTTTTTAGAAATCGGTTTTATATATTCGAGTGTGTGTGTCCCCACAGAAAATGCTCTAAGTGCATTAAGTGCATTAACTCGGCGGAGCGCTTCCACAGTACCGAGGCTAGAGTTGACTTCCGGAGCATTGCACTGTGGGTAGCTATCCCACAGTTCCCGCAGTCTCCGCTGCCCATTGGAATTCTGGGTTGAGATCCCAATGCCTGATGGGGCTAAAACATTGTCGCGGGTGGTTCTGGGTACATATCGTCAGGCCCCCATTCCCTCCCTCCCTCCGTGAAAGCAAGGGCAGACAATCGTTTCGCGCCTTTTTTCCTGAGTTACCTGTGCAGACGCCATACCACTGCAAGCATGGAGCCCGCTCAGGTAACCATCACCCTATGACGCCTGGGTGCTGGCAGACGTGGTACGGCTTTGCTACACAGTAGCAGCAACCCATTGCCTTCTGGCAGCAGACGGTGCAGTATGACTAGTAGTCGTCCTCGTCATGTCCGAGGTGCTCCTGGCCACGTCGGCTAGGAGCGCCTGGGCAGACATGGGTGCAGGGACTAAATTTGGAGTGACTTGACCAGGTCATTCTCTTTAGTCCTGCAGTCAGTCCTATTGAACCATCTTATGGTGAGCGGGCAGGCGATACGGACTGCTAGCAGTCGTACTGTACCATCTTCTGCCAGGCAGGCAAGAGATGAGGATGGCTAGCAGTCGTACTGTACCATCTTCTGCCGAGCAGCCATGAGATGTGGATGGCATGCAGTCCTTCTGCACCGTCTGCTGCCAGCCAAAGATGTAAAAGATAGATGGAGTGGATCAAAACAAGAAATAGACCAGATTTGTTTTGTACTCATTTGCTTCCCCCCCTCCCCTGTCTAGGGGACTCATTCCTCTAGGTCACACTGCAGTCACTCACAGAGAAGGTGCAGCGAGGTAAATCTAGCCATGTATCAATCAGAGGCCAGGCTAACCTCCTTGTTCCAATAAGAACGATAACTTAGGTGCACCATTTCTTATTGGAACCCTCCGTGAAGTCCTGCCTGAAATACTCCTCGATGTAAAGACACCCCCTTTGTTGATTTTAGCTCCCTGAAGCCAACCCTGTAAGCCGTGTCGTCAGTCGCCCCTCCCTCCGTCAAAGCAACAGCAGACAATCGTTCCGCGCCTTTTTTCTGTGCGGACGCCATACCAAGGCAAGCATGGAGGGCGCTCAGCTCACTTTGGCAATTAGGAGCACATTAAACACCACACGCATTATCCAGTAGTATATGCAGCACCGGAACCTGGCAAAGCGATACCGGGTGAGGAGGCGACGTCAGCGCGGTCACGTGAGTGATCAGGACATGGACACAGATTTCTCTGAAAGCATGGGCCCTGCCAATGCATGCATCATGGTGCTAATGGGGCAGGTTCATGCTGTGGAACGCCGAATCTGGGCTCGGGAAACAAGCACAGACTGGTGGGACCGCATAGTGTTGCAGGTCTGGGATGATTCCCAGTGGCTGCGAAACTTTCGCATGCGTAAGGGCACTTTCATGGAACTTTGTGACTTGCTTTCCCATGCCCTGAGGCGCATGAATACCAAGATGAGAGCAGCCCTCACAGTTGAGAAGCGAGTGGCGATAGTCCTGTGGAAGCTTGCAACGCCAGACAGCTACCGGTCAGTTGGGAATCAATTTGGAGTGGGCAAATCTACTGTGGGGGCTGCTGTGATGCAAGTAGCCCACGCAGTCAAAGATCTGCTGATATCAAGGGTAGTGACCCTGGGAAATGTGCAGGTCATAGTGGATGGCTTTGCTGCAATGGGATTCCCTAACTGTGGTGGGGCTATAGACGGAACCCATATCCCTATCTTGGCACCGGAGCACCAAGCCGCCGAGTACATAAACCGCAAGGGGTACTTTTCGATAGTGCTGCAAGCTCTGGTGGATCACAAGGGACGTTTCACCAACATCAACGTGGGATGGCCGGGAAAGGTGCATGATGCTCGCATCTTCAGGAACTCTGGTCTGTTTCAAAAGCTGCAGGAAGGGACTTTATTCCCAGACCAGAAAATAACAGTTGGGGATGTTGAAATGCCTATAGTTATCCTTGGGGACCCAGCCTACCCCTTAATGCAATGGCTCATGAAGCCATACACAGGCAGCCTGGACAGTAGTCAGGAGCTGTTCAACTACAGGCTGAGCAAGTGCAGAATGGCGGTAGATGTGCATTTGGATGTTTAAAGGCGCGCTGGCGCAGTTTACTGACTCGCTTAGACCTCAGCAAAACCAATATTCCCACTGTTATTACTGCTTGCTGTGTGCTCCACAATATCTGTGAGAGTAAGGGGGAGACGTTTATGGTGGGGTGGGAGGTTGAGGCAAATCGCCTGGCTGCTGGTTACACGCAGCCAGACACCAGGGCGGTTAGAAGAGCACAGGAGGGCGCGGTACGCATCAGAGGAGCTTTGAAAACCAGTTTCATGACTGGCCAGGCTACGGTGTGAAAGTTCTGTTTGTTTCTCCTTGATGAAACCCCCCGCCCCTTGGTTCACTCTACTTCCCTGTAAGCTAACCACCCGCCCCTCCTCCCTTCGATCACCGCTTGCAGAGGCAATAAAGTCATTGTTGCTTCACATTCATGCATTCTTTATTCATTCATCACACAAATAGGGGGATGACTACCAAGGTAGCCCAGGAGGGGTGGTGGAGGAGGGAAGGAAAATGCCACACAGCACTTTAAGCACTTTAAAAGTTTACAACTTTAAAATTTATTGAATGACAGCCTTCTTTTTTTTGGGCAATCCTCTGTGGTGGAGTGGCTGGTTGGCCGGAGGCCCCCCCACCGCGTTCTTGGGCGTCTGGGTGTGGAGGCTATGGAACTTGGGGAGGAGGGCGGTTGGTTACAGAGGGGCTGCAGTGGCAGTCTGTGCTCCAGCTGCCTTTGCTGCAGCTCAACCATACACTGGAGCATACTGGTTTGGTCCTGCAGCAGCCTAAGCATTGAATCCTGCCTCCTCTCATCACGCTGCCGCCACATTTGAGCTTCAGCCCTGTCTTCAGCCCGCCACTTACTCTCTTCAGCCCGCCACCTCTCCTCCCGGTCATTTTGTGCTTTCCTGCACTCTGACATTATTTGCCTCCACGCATTCGTCTGTGCTCTGTCAGTGTGGGAGGACAGCATGAGCTCGGAGAACATTTCATCGCGAGTGCGTTTTTTTTTTTCTTTCTAAGCTTCACTAGCCTCTGGGAAGGAGAAGATCCTGTGATCATTGAAACACATGCAGCTGGTGGAGAAAAAAAAAGGGACAGCGGTATTTAAAAAGACATATTTTATAAAACCGTGGCTACACTCTTTCAGGGTAAACCTTGCTGTTAACATTACATACATAGCACATGTGCTTTCGTTGCAAGGTCGCATTTTGCCTCCCCCCACCGCGTGACTACCCCCCTCAACCTTCCCCCCTCCCTGTGGCTAACAGCAGGGAACATTTCTGTTTAGCCACAGGCAAACAGCCCAGCAGGAATGGGCTCCTCTGAGTGTCCCCTGAAGAAAAGCACTCTATTTCAACCAGGTGACCATGAATTATATCTCACTCTCCTGAGGATAACACAGAGAGATAAAGAACGGATGTTGTTTGAATGCCAGCAAACAGACACTGCAATGCTTTGTTCTACAATGATTCCCGAGTACGTGTTACTGGCCTGGAGTGGTAAAGTGTCCTACCATGAAGGACGCAGTAAGGCTGCCTTCCCCAGAAACCTTTTGCAAAGGCTTTAGGACTACATCTAGGAGAACCGCAAATGCCAGGGCAAAGTAATCCTTTCACATGCTTGCTTTTAAACCATGTATAGTATTTTAAAAGGTACACTCACCAGAGGTCCCTTCTCCGCCTGCTGGGTCCCGGAGGCAGCCTTGGGTGGGTTCGGGGGGTACTGGCTCCAGGTCCAGGGTGAGAAACAGTTCCTGGCTGTCGGGAAAACCGGTTTCTCCGCTTGCTTGCTGTGAGCTATCTACAACCACCTCCTCCTCATCTTCTTCTTCTTCTTCGTCCCCAAAACCTGCTTCCGTATTGCCTCCGTCTCCATTGAAGGAGTCAAACACGGCTGGGGTAGTGGTGGCTGAACCCCTTAAAATGGCATACAGCTCATCATGGAAGCGGCATGTTTGGGGCTCTGACCCGTAGCGGCCGTTCGCCTCTCTGGTTTTCTGGTAGGCTTGCCTCAGCTCCTTCAGTTTCACGCGGCACTGCTTCGGGTCCCTGTTATGGCCTCTGTCCTTCATGCCCTGGGAGATTTTGACAAAGGTTTTGGCATTTCGAAAACTGGAACGGAGTTCTGATAGCACGGATTCCTCTCCCCAAACAGCGATCAGATCCCGTACCTCCCGTTCAGTCCATGCTGGAGCTCTTTTGCGATTCTGGGACTCCATCATGGTCACCTGTGCTGATGAGCTCTGCATGGTCACCTGCAGTTTGCCACGCTGACCAAACAGGAAATGAGGTTCAAAAGTTCGCGGTTCTTTTCCTGTCTACCTGGCCAGTGCATCTGAGTTGAGAGTGCTGTCCAGAGCGGTCACAATGGAGCACTCTGGGATAGCTCCCGGAGGCCAATACCATCGAATTGTGTCCACAGTACCCCAAATTCGAGCCGGCAACGTCGATTTAAGCGCTAATCCACTTGTCAGGGGTGGAGTAAGGAAATCGATTTTAGGAGCCCTTTAAGTCGAAATAAAGGGCTTCATTGTGTGGATGGGTGCAGGTTTACATCAATTTAACGCCGCTAAATTCGACCTAAAGTCCTAGTGTAGACCAGGGCAAAAAGGTACTCAATTTGGTTTAAGAGTGTCAACAGAGGAGCTAGTGTAGAATAGCTCTTGGGCTTTAAATTCACACCCCAGCTTACTTCACAAGAGCCTCCTCATGTAGACAAACTACAGCATTAACATAATGTTATCTCATTTTCATAGTCACTGCAATGCTACAACTTGATAGCTCAAAAGGGAGAATGTTAAGGAAGTTACTTGCAGCCAGCTGAGTCAATGTTAAACATAACTGGTACTGTCTACACTGACTGCAAGGTTGAGTTTAACATTGTGTTGAGTTTAACATTCAGGGTTGGCATTCTAACAAGATCTAATTTTCTAGTAAAGACTAGCCCTAGACCACCACTATTCATTGTGATACAACATTATATAACATTAGATTTTGAAAAAAACTTTCCAAGGTCACTTGATTTAGGTTATGTCTACATTGCGCACCTTAGAGCTGTAGCCACGCCATTGTAAGGTGTACAATGTAGCCAAACGAGGGGTGGTAGCTTCATCACCAGGAGAGCATCTCCCAGTGACAATGCGCTGTCCACACTCGTGCTTTTCATCGTTAAAACTTACGTCATGCAGGGGAGGGTTATTTTCATACCCCTGAGCTATGGAAGTTTTAACGACGAAAGTGCAGTGTAGACATGGCCTTAGTCTATTATTTATTTAGTGTATACTTGTCTGGTTTTCTCAGGAGAAGTCTGCTAACAAGACACAATTGATCTAGAGTGATTATGTTGCACCTTCAACCAGGTGCTAACTGCATTTGGTAATGCCGATGTATGTAATGATCCCACAGTTTTTCACTATATGCTGAAGGTTCTCCTAAGAGATCTGTTTTTGAAACCAAAGAGACTATCTAGGAATCCTCAAAGATACACACATTTGCATTTTTCTACAATAAATGGCTTGACATATTTCTGAACAACAGCAAGAAAGATTCCCCTTTTGGAACCCTACAAATAGGTTTTCAATTTTCAACAAATCCTTTGCAGGTCTCTTTTAAGGCTGGAATTTTCAAAGGCGTTTAAGGGAGTTAGGCAGCCAAATCCCATTAAAATTGAAATGGGAATCAGGCACCAAACTCTCATTGGCTTTTACCAACCCCAAACTAATTTTTTTCTTCAAATATGACAAAAAGCATATTTTGCAGATGACAGGGTAACGTTATTTTAATCTCTGTTTCCAATATTCATTTTTAAATATTCCATTCCCATTTAACTTTAGTTTCTAGCAATAATTCAGAAGTTGCGTTTCTGTAAAGCTCCTGCCATCTCTGAAGGGTAGTCTGAATAATGCTGTCTTTTTTTAAAAGGTAAACATTTTCAAAACATGCTTCCACTTCATTTATGTATCTCTACCACTTTCCCAACTGTTACTCACACTGCCAAAATAAAATACATATGTCAATTGTCATCAAAAACTTCACCTTTTTGCCTCTTGCGTAATTAATATCTTTTTTGTGATATTCTCTATACTTAAGGGAAAAAACTTTAAAGGAGTCTTGAGAAGTTTCAATAGACTTTGTTTTCTAAGATTATCTCCAAAATACCATGGAAATGTCTTTTTTTTAAAAAAAAAAAACAAGCACCCAACCTCCTCCTCTCCCCAAGAATAATGAATCTGCTGAAAGTTCTTACTCTTCTTTCTAATGGCTGGCTAGAATCATGACTGCCATTGGCTTCACCTCAGGCCTCTAAGGGTACGTGTACAGTGGGATGAAAGAACCGTGGCTTGCCTGGGTTAGCTGACTCGGGCTCATGGGTCTTGGGCTACAAGGCTATAAAACTGCAGTGTAGACATTGGGGCTTGGGCTGGAGCCTGGGCTGAGACCCACCTTGCAGAGCCTCAGAGCCTGGGATCCTGCCCCACATCCAATCACCTACCCAATCATCTACACTGCAACTTTTAGCCCCTCACCCTGAGCCCTGCAAGCCTGAGTCAGCTGACCTGGGCTCTGAGACTCGATGCCAGTGGCTTTTTAATCTCAGTGTAGACTAACTCGGAAAACTGTGAACAAATGGGTAACAGCTGGCAGAATTATCAGTGTTGCCAGGAGTAAGGTTCCCTTTCTCAGGAAGTATTTCATTGTCCAGATTTGTTGGAATTTTACTAAACCTTTCTGTTACACTAACTGCTTAGGGTACATTCACTATAAAGTGGAAAGAACATAAAAATCGTACATCACTAATAAGTAAGGATATAATTTACTCATGGAGGTCATGGATTCCATGATTTTAACAAATCTCTCTGACTTCTCCAGCTTCAGCCCCCCTCCTCCCCTGATGGTGGGCTTGGGCTGTCTGTCCTCCCCCCACCCCAGCAGTCAGTAAAAGTCACCAACGGATCATAGGCTTGTGTGAATATTTGTTTATTGCCCGTGACCTGTCCCTGATTTTTACTAAAAATAACCATGACAAAAACATAATCTTACTAAAAAGAAACGTTTAAGCAATGTCAAAACAATCCATTGCTACTCTGTTTGAGGAACTGACAGAGCTTGGCCTTTGGGATCATCAAATCTAGTGTTTGTTGTGAGCTGCATGATCATGTGGATTCCATAGGTCAGGATCCATAATAAAACTATTGACGTCACCAAGCCCATCCAGATTCCAGGGGAGAAGAAAGATGTACAGTCGCTTGCGTATGAAAACCGGTTATTATGAATATTGAAGCCCTGAATCTGAGAACAAGAAAAAAATAGGTGAGCCCAAATGAATTTACACAACAAAACCTACTTTTAAGATCTGTATATTCACTACAAAATCTAGGCCTGCAAAATACTGTGTGCCCTCAATTCCTATTGAAGAGGCGTGAGCACCAACTCCTTTTCAGCATGATTTTTCAATTTCTCTCTCCTTCCAGGAAATTTCAGATGCATGACAGTTATTTGTTTTACAAAAAGGAAGTTGTGCTTCCAAACTTCAGAGACTTGGGAATATTTTAAAGGTAAAATTCCAAAGGAGGCATGAGACCAATGTAACTTAATAACTGTTTCAGATTTGCCAACCTAAACATTCAAAAGTCAAGATTTTGCACAACCCAAAATCATGAGGTTGGCTTAAAAATCATGACATTTAAAAAAATAATACATTTGGGGTTATGTTTATTTTATTTTATTTTGGTGTTTGAGCATTAGGGTGTGTTTTTAAGCTTTTTTCCACAACTCTGAAAGCTAGAAACTTACTTGAGGAGTAAGGGAGGGAAAAAACAAGAAAGAACTGAGATTCTCACAGATTCACATGACTTTGGGAGATGGGGCTTTAAGAAAAACATCAAATATCATAAGACTTTTGATAAAAATCACAAGAGTTGGCAATATTGTATATTTTTTTGAAAGTTAGTTGTTTGAATCATCTTTCCCCACCATGCAGATATAAACAAGAAAGCAGAATTCCAAAGATAGCTAATATATTTTGCTCTGTATATAATTATCTCTATGTATGTAATTCAGAAATACAAACTTGCCATAGAAACAGCAAAATGGACATACAGGGGGACACATCACTACCATTCATTGACCTGCCATGAACTACGGTGTGATTTTGTAGTAGTAATATGGTGTTTGTACTAGAAATGCTTAGGTTTCCATATGAAAGAGTGATTTGGATTTCTAGCTAGTAAGAATGAAGTCTTTGTCCCTTTGGTCCATATGCCTTTCGTGTCCCCAATTCATCAAGGGATGGTGAGGGTGGAGCATCCCCCAGAGAAGCCGTTTTTGTTTTATTTTTCCCAGGGCTGTATTTAATAATTTTTAATGAATGTGAACACATTTATAAAATAATTGCTTAGTGAAAAATAAATAAAAAAATATTTCACAGCTCTAGGAGGCAGATTGAGTTGCAAACCTTTGCAACCCAAATTATCTGTAGTGTTTGGAAATGTGCATGCCCTGTCTCTCATTCAGTTACTACAGTGGCTTGCCAAAATGATGGTTAGTGCAATTCTGCATGATCTGCAAAACTAGAGCCCTGTAGAGGTAAAGACAATACTGGAGGTACCAGCATACTCGGACCTCTTTCAACAATTAAAGACTGTTCCCATTGTTACCATAGCAGTTAACTTGTTAATACTGACTGCTTTGCACTATATCCAATTGTATGTTTCTGACTCAAGCAGGATTATGGAAAATAAACATTTGGGTTGGGAGGCTGAGTTTGTACACAGCTTTAGTAAGTGATGCGTTTGCCAGGGCATTTCATCGTTAAGCCACTGTTTAGACATCACACCAAAGCTGAATGGGAGTCACACAATATGGTTTGAAAGATTGACTGAAAAAAAGCAGATGATGCTTCATGTCATTTTGGTTCTCAAAGGACTGAACTTCTGTGAAACAATACATGCTTGTTACCATTCTTCCAGGACATTCTAAGGTACTTAACAGAGGGATCGATCCGTTTTTACTAGGGCAATTAAATTTGTTGGCGCTACAGCCAGGAAGACTGAATTTTATTGTATGTGGTAGTAGTATTCCTTATTCAAGCAGGATTATGCCTAGCAAACCTTTAGGTGGGAGCTTTAATTATACATTCTTGAAATGCTATGTTTACTTTTAGGAAATAACTGTTGTTTATTTCATGTTCTCTTATTGCTTTTCTGATATTTGATCACTACTATGGGGATGCTGTTGGATCCCAGCTGGCAAATAAAGATGCAACTCCCTGCAGATTTGCCACCTGTGTAGGAATTAAAAATACATAGATACATAATCCTAGTTAATTTTTATATAAATCTTTTGATAAGGATTCCAGCCTAATGTATGTTTAAATTCTAGTGTTTCAGTTAGTATCATTGTTATAGGTTTGCTTGTTCTGTATTTACTAGTTTTTATTTTTAAAATGAAATTGTATTTTGTGCAGTGTATTGTACATTTTGAATGAAGTTTCCTAATCGTTTGACCTTTAACAAAACCTTAACGTAGGTTTGTTATGTAGATTGTGTGGGGTATCCTCAAGGGCAACATATAAAAGCTGAGGTTTGAAATAGTTTAGCCTTGAAAATCCTAAAATTCCTGGCTTCAGTGTCTTGGGCATTTGCCCTGAGCAAAAGGGGCTACTAGCAAGTCTGACAGACACTGAAGAAATATGAAAAGCCTGGATGCAGCTTTAGAAACAACAAAGAGCTTTCATTTCGTAGATTATACAGACAGCATTAAAGGGAAAGGAGGAAGCATTTGGTAAAAGGAACCTCAAAATTCTAGAACAGTCATTCCCACCATTGACCTATACACTGGTGCTGGTATTTCAGCCATCTGTGACTGGTACAGAGTAATGACCAGATTCTGTGCTGGACTCTGGACTGCAGTCATTGCTCACCTCCCTAAGAACTGTGCTTTTAGTGGTGCTTGAGCACTCTGAACCCTAATCTTCTGAAAAGACCTATACTGGAATTGTCAGAGCTTCACTGGATATCAGAGAGAATACAGTGAGAGGATGGAGGGGCACTGGTTGTTCCAGACAAGTCAAACAGTTGCCCAAATTGTTTGGGAACGACTAGCCTAGAAACCACAAGCTGAGAAAACTGCAAAGAGTACGGCGCATTCACCTGCTTGGGAGTTGGGTCTTCTTCATTCACTACAGCCTACTGGGAAACAGCATCTAGTGACCTTCTGAACCAGGCGCTCTGTTGTAGGGGAAGATTTGGGGCTTGCACAAAAGGAGAAGAAAGAGGGGCCTGGACATTGCTGTGACAATTTGTGTGGAACTCTGAGTGAAGTCATAACCCAGTGGCAGGGCATTAACCTCATCACACACCCCTGCTGGGGCTATCAAACCGAGAGTCAAGTTTTACCACATCATAGAAGAGACTGTTGCCATTTAAAGTGGGGTTTTGTGTATGTGTATTCATCTAGAGTACATAGGTTAGTATGTCTTTTCACCTGGGTATAGGAAATAGCATAATGATTGCTTTAATATATTTTAAAACCTTTCAACTCTTCAGTATATTTTGAAACCTGCTACCACAAGTTCTCTCCCACTTTTAGCTGTTTCTGAGACAGATACAGCTATTTTGTTTGATTTGGTTTTTTGTGTGTGTGCCCTTTGAAACAGTTTAGGTCAAGATAAAGCTACTACCCCAGTTAGGGGTATGTTACTTATTAGGAGTCCCTCTGGTAACTGGGTGGGAGTACTCAACCTCACAGATGGATCTGACATGGGTAAGAGCAGCAACTAGGGAGGAGGTACTGTGACAAGAGGGTGAGGCAATTTGGAAGCTCCCTTGCATAGTTTCCAGTGTTCAGGCTCAGTCCCGGGGTCTCACTAGCATATGTGACATCCCTCAAGAGGGAGGGTAATTGGGTTGCAGCCTTAAAGCCAATCCCAGAGTGTTCTGGGGACCCAGAAGACAAGGGGGTGCTGGTATAGCCTTGCTAGATAGACCAGGGTGAAGGAAGTCTCCTGGAATTACTCATGTCCCACTCTTTCCCACAGGTGGGGAACTACATTCACCTGTACCCCTGGGTAAAGCTGGGGGCAGTGAGAGAGCGGTTGCTTCTTGTCCCATCGAGATAACATAGGTTAGGATAGGGTCCCATTTTACAATATATCTTCTCCTATCCCCATTACCCTGATTGAGTATTGAGTACTGTCTATTGTTTTGGTTTTTTTCCTTTCTGTGGATGACTTTATAGTGATTTGTTTTTTTTCAGTTGTTTTCATGTTATTGTTCAGAAGCTGCCTGCTCCCTCTTTCCCCTGTTGAATAGCACCCATAGTGGGCAAATAGCTTTCTCTTAATGTTTTTTTAGAGTTGAACTAAAAGTACAGGTGTTATGAAAATATGCTGTTCAACACATACTCTAGCAAGTAATCGTCCCTGGAATTGCCTCTGAAATGGCAGTGCACTCACTTGGAACTCTGAAAGGTAAACCTCCCAGCTCTTTGCTCCACTGTTGGCTGGAATCAGCTTTGCACCACAGCGACTGCTGGTCCCCACCAGCTGACAATGAAATGAATACTCCGCAGGAGCAGAAATGATGGAGACATTAAATCTAGCGACCACTTGGTTGTCATGTGCAATCTCAACAGAATCTAAAGTAAACCATTTTCGAGCGGAGCCTGCATAGAACTTGTTGGTCATTAGAAATCTAGAGAGAAGAAAAACAGAATAAATAGAGTCAAACTGACATAGAAAAAGTTATAATATTCATTGGTGTGCATGCTTAACCCACAGTAGAATCCAACAGGGACCATCACTTGAAGAAGAACAGATGGCAGACGAGATTAATCATCACTAGCTCTTTGCCTATGAGACTGCAGTTAGTATCTCCTCCTACAGGAGGACTTGTCATGAGTGAAGTGACTTTGTGAATCTTGTTTTACCGCTTGTTACAGTTTTGTATAATAAGCAATGTTTTCGTAATCTGAATGAGCATTTATTGTTTCATTCTGCAACGGACTGCTATAGTGCCGTATTTCATAAATTACTGGCAGTTTATAATCACTGATGCAGAAGCTGAAAGATTGTCAGCAGAACTGCATTATTTTGCAATAAATATTTTTATGGGATTTTTTAAATAAAAGTATTTTTATGAAGGGTACAGACATGAAAACCACTTTGATTTATCATAGGAAACTGTTTCTTGGTTCAGATGACTAAATGGCCATTTGCATGTTCAAATAGAATCTTAGAATATCAGGGTTGGAAGGCACCTCAGGAGGTCATTTAGTCCAACCCCCTGCTGAGAGCAGGACCTAATCCCCAACTAAATCATCCCAGCCAGGGCTTTGTCAAGCCTGACCTTAAAAATCTCAAAGGAAGGAGATTCCATCACCTCACTAGGTAACACATTCCAGTTCTTCACCACCCTCCTAGTGAAATAGTGTTTCCTGATATCCAACCTTGACCTCCCCCACTGCAACTTGAGACCATTACTCCTTGTTCTGTCTTCTGCCACCACTGAGAACAGCCTAGCTCCATCCTCTTTGGAACCCCCTACAGGTAGTTGAAGGCTGCTATCAAATCCCCCCTCACTCTTCTCTTCTGCAGACTAAATAAGCCCAGTTCCTTCAGCCTCTCCTCATAAGTCGTGCTCCAGCCCCCTAATCATTTTTGGTGCCCTTCGCTGGACTCTTTCCAATTTTTCCACATCCTTCTTATAGTGTGGGGCCCAAAACTGGACAGAGTACTCCAGATGAGGCCTCACCAATGCCGAATAGAGGGGAATGATCACGTCCCTCGATCTGCTGGCAATGCTCCTACTTATACAGTGCAAATTGCCGTTAGCCTTCTTGGCAACAAGGGCACACTGTTGACTCATATCCAGCTTCTTGTCCACCATAATCCCTAGGTCCTTTTCTGCAGAACTGCTGCCTAGCCACTCAGTCCCTACTCTGTAGCAGTGCATGGGATTCTTCCTTCCTAAGTGCAAGACTCTGCACCTGTCCTTGTTGAACCTCATCAGATTTCATTTCACCCAATCCTCTAATTTATCTAGGTCCCTCTGTATCCTATCCCTATCCTCCAGCGTATCTACCACTCCTGCCAGTTTAGTGTCATCTGCAAACTTGCTGAGGGTGCAATCCACGCCATCTTCCAGATCATTAATGAAGATATTGAACAAAACCAGCCCCAGCACCAACCCTTGGGGCACTCCACTTGATACCGGATGCCAACTAGACATGGCAGCCTGAATTTATACCTGAATTTATACATGAAGGCACAATTCTCTCACTCTAGGTATGTTTATAACCCCCATCACTAAAATATGACCACCTTCAAAGTATTTTAAAATAGAAAAATATTGAGCTAGTATGGACATTTCCCTCCTTTGGTGGACCTGCAAATTTGTACCATGTTGCATTCAGGTAGTCCAGTTCTCTCATATTAAATATATTCTCTGTGTCAATTGTGTTGCTATTGGAGATTTCACACTTTTCTCCTTATTTTACCATGCTCAGTATTTTAATTCTACCTAGTTTAAATTAATGTTGTTTCCAGTAACTTGCAATCACAGAGTCCTTGGGGCTCTCCGCTGAGGGTGGCTATAAATTTGCGTATTCTAAGCTGTCTGCCCACCATGAATATTAGATGTGGACTTTGAAAATTTTAGGTGGTGTTTAGGTGCTGCTGCAATAGGTGCCAAACAAATCTGTAAATACAAGTTACCAAAAAATCAAAAACAAAAAGCACATTCAAAATAAAATATGTGTAGGTCGTAATTTTTGTAGTAGATAAATAGGTAGCAAGTAAAATGGACACCACATATCAATTGTCTGACTAACAAAGATGATATGGCTGAAGTATCTATGTGAGAGCCAAAAATAGTCCTTATTGTGAGCAGGAAACACCTTATTATAGTAGATTCACGTCATGAACAGGAATTGAATCCCTTCACAACATTTTTATTATTTGTTGTTTGTATTACAGTAGCACCTAGGGGTCCCGGTCACACACCAGGACCCCACTGTGCTAGGTGCTGTGCAAGCACAGATTATCCTGAACTATGTAAGTCACTTATCTCAGGGCTGTAATCACTATTAATAGAGCAACTGTCCAATAAGAAGCCCCAAAAGACCAAACAGGGCCACACCTTTCAACAAAACACACTATCAGTTAATGAACACACAGTACTTGAATTGTTAATTCTACATGACCAATACCAACACCAGCAATAACTAAGTAATATTTGTAAATGGGTAAAGGCTAATGGATCAACTTGACCACTTGGACGTGGTCCTTCAAGGTATGCAACATCCTCTCCCACCCCCGAATGGCCAGCCAGTTCTGCTGGCCTGCGCATGAGTGAGGTTGCAGTCACGACTCTGCCTACTCACTGCTCCTCCTTACCACACCTCCTTTGGGTAATGTGTATCCCTACAGGAATAGCAAGGAAGCAGTTCCTGCACTCCTATGGGTACAGGTATTGCAATTCTGTCCAGCCTTTGCACAGGCTGTGCATAAAATGGAACAAGTTTCTTATCCCTCTGCTACTGTTTGCTCCCACCCAAGGCTTGGCAGAATGTAGCTCTCCTTTAGGAGTCATAACTCAACAACCAAATGAACCAAAGTGATACAGAATGGAGAGGAAGGGGGGTATGTTTTATAGATATTTATATGGCTTTTGATGCAGTGCTTAGAAAATAGCATTGTTGGAATAAACAAGGTGAACAAATGGAACATATTTTCAAGTCATGAAAGATAGTCCACAACAACTTCTGATTCTTGTAAACATGCACTATTATTTGTATTGCAATAGTGCTGAGGGGCCTGATAAAAGATTGGGACTGTTCAGACACATTTTAAGAGACAGACAGGAAGCATCAAGATAATCAGCTTTGAAATATCAAGGTTTTTGTATAAACCAAGAAAAATGTTTAGTTGCACTTAAAATAAACCAGTCTTACTTATAGCTTGGAGGATGACCATCTCTCAAGCTCCCAGATTAGTTTCCCAGTTCTAAATTCTGTCCTCTCTTAGGTTACCGGAAGCCTTTCTTTACAAAGCTCCATGGAGTAGTCCACCAGCTTCTGACTGAGGATTCTTGGCTCACTATCCCATCCCTTTAAACATGGGCAGCAGAAAACTTCAGTGAGGAATTAACGTCTTACCTTTTGGTGGTACACAATGAAACTGTTCATAGTGGAAGACAGAGACACTTTAATACTTGATTCAAGGATTCAGTTAACATGGGGTTCTAATAATCATTAAAATATAGTTCTATTGGGAAAGTAGTCAACCACCTGTTTTGTCCCTCAGATTTCAGATCAGATTTTCTCAGCGTAAGGTTTTCTTAACTGCGAGTCTTGAAAACTCAATCCAGGATCTGAGTGTCAAGCTGAGTACTTTTTTCCATGCATCCATCACCTTTAATAACAATTCTGCTGGCCAAATTATGTCTCCACATTAACCTCCTTCAGCCCTAAGTGTCTTTGAACAAGTTGGAATTTAGTAAATAAGTCTATTTATGATCTACAAGAAGGAACAGAACAAGTTTGACACTCATATCCTAGATTGAGTTTTCAGGACTAGCAGTTAGCCTCTGTGGGGCTCAGAGGAGTAAAATGAAATAATTCTCTTTTTGTCAGTGAAGTGAGCAGATATGATTTTGAATATACACAGACCTTAAGAATTGTTGAGGTAGCATGTGCCATTTTACTTCGTGGCTTTTCAGAGAAAAACCACACTTTGAACTGTAAATAAAATTATCAGGAGAAACCATTCTCTTTAGTGGATGTCCCATCCCTTTTTTATTGTCTGTCTCAATTTCTTCTTATGAGACTACAGTCTCTCTCTTATTGCTTGGAAGAGCAAAAAACTTATTTTTAACAATGCCTAAATAAACATGCCCTAGATAATCCCGTCGTATTAGCTGTATGCTGAAGTTTAAAAGACCTTCTGAAATTCTCTAAATTCTGTGGTGGTCACCCCTCTTTCACTTATTGTTCTACCTGAGGCTGTTCAGATAGAGGGCATCAATGTTTTATTATATTGTTGCATGTTTCTATGAGTCCTTTTCTCACTGTATTAATAGCTCTTAGAGCGACAGTGGAAGAGAATGTAAGCTTTGTAGTTTAATACCCTTTCTAATTCTATCCTATTTTCATGTACCTTAGATGGGGCTTGCTACTTTGTTTTCATGCTGCCAGCCAATAATTTCAGTTCTGCTTTCAATTATTTACTCTATCCAATTATTTTCTTCCCTTAGATTTCATCTCCTTAGGCCATCTCCTAAAATGTATCCCAAACTAATTTCAGGTGAGCTATGTCCTTATTTATATCATAGAATTGTTAAAGCCAAATTCTGTGCTCAGACACGTGCACGCAACTTCCACTTCACTGGCAGTTATCCACAAGCCTCCAAGATAGGATTCAGCTGTAGGTTTCATAGTAACCTTTCATGCACAGGCAGACCCAAGATAGTGCCAAAGAGGAGATCTAAGGAAGGTGGAACTTGGGTGGAGGACAGTGGCTCATCCATTCCTGGCAGCTTGTGGGGCTCCTCTGCTGGAACTCCCAGTGTTTGGATCTCAACAGTATGGGGTAAGCATAACTGGGGAGAAGCCATTGTCAATACACCTTCCCGATTCACCATTTCGAACATTTAAAGTTGGGTTTTTGTGTAAGACAATGGGTGTGCAGCCAATT